TTTTTCAAGCATTATGTTAAAATATGACATCGAAGTTCAACTGAACCAGCTTATGGTTACCCAAGTGACTCAGCACTAATTAGGGTTGGGCGTGGGTTGGGTTGGGTCTGGTTTTCACTCAACCCAACCCAACCCAATTCAGTTTGGTATAAAATTAACCCAATCCAACCTAATTACGTATTTAAACCCAACCAATCAAGTTCGATTGGGTTGGTTTGGTCAGTTTTTGGTTAACATTTCCCTTCTTTCACTGCATTTTCAGAGAGAGACTAAATTAGTGAGAAAAGCACAAATGACAACCACATAAATCTATAACAAGTCTGCACCAACTATCCACGAAGTCAGAAGTCATACTTCCATTCTCAACTACTCAATTATCGGGTGTGGAATATGATTAAGAACTCAATTGCCTTAACGTTGGCCTTAAATGCGTTGCATATATTGCAGAGGGCATGCTTCCACTAAGTAAAATAGGAAGTACAGGTAAGGCCAATGATAATACTACAGTATAGCATTCCAATTTCCAAGCTCAGCAGCAAACTTTTATTTATCCAACTTATCAACAAAATAGAGAAAAGAATAATAGTAAAAATGAAATCATGGAACATAAAGAAGCCTTGTGAAGTCAAGAACTCAAGAACTCACATAAAGTAGCTCGAACTCGGATAGGATAAAGCACCAAAATACAGAATCAAACTGCATATAATAATCATCACCAAAATAAGGTAAAATGACAAAATTATAGTTGATACAGAGAGATGCCTTGTAAGCAGGAGTGTGTTGGGGAGAGGATGAGGGTTGAAAGAGTGGGAATGACACATCAGTAGAGGTCTCTTCATTTGTAGCCAAAGCAGCAGAATAGCCAACTGCCGGTGATTATTGAAGGTGAAATAGGATGGTTGGCTGCAACAGAAAAGAAACAGCCATGTGCAAATTGACCGTGGACTATCAGAAAACTCAAACAAATCACTAGCAAATCCCAATAGGCAAAACTCATTAATTAAAATCCATATTTGGATATAAGGAAACACAAATAGATCACTAACCAAGGCATTTGGATTGGGGATCGACGAGCAGGGAGCTGAAGATAAAGAGCGTACAGTTTGGAGGAGTAGATTATATGTATACTCGCACACATGATGTAAACTGATGAAGCACATAAGAAGCAGCAGATTATATTAAATTTCTGCTAACAAAACGACATATATCGAGAAGGGAACTCACCCGTTGAGCCTTATAAACTAGAAATTGAAATGAGATCTGGAATCTCCCTCTCGCCCTATCTCTGTGAGCCCTAAAATCGGCGATTTGGGAGGAGAAAATGACGAGAGTGACGGACAGAGAGAAAATGAAAGAATAGAGTGAAAAGTCTAGGTTCTAACCTTTTTTAGTTATGAAATCTGAGGTTTTTTTAAACATGCGTGTCAGGTCGGGTTGGGTCGGGTTTGGATGGATTTTTTGGTTCAACCCGCAACTCGACCAGCATTCAACACCCCAAACCTGAACTCAACCAAAAAAATGAAAAAAACCGACCTAAACCGATCGGTTCGGGTGGGTTGGGCAGGTTTTTGCCCAGCCTTAGCACTAACCATGATATGATATAAGAATGGAGGCTTAGATAAAAATGGGAGCAATCTTATGCAATTAATAATCTATTCTATGTGATTCTATCCAAACAATTCATCTTCATTTGCCTTTTTCTCTGTAAAAAGCAATTTTCAGCAGACATCTCCAGTAAATCAACATACATTAAATTGTTCAGCAGATAAACAATAATAATTTTTTTCATATGTAAAGCATATTTTCCTTTTGAGAGGACAGATTTCCAGGGAGCGAGTAAGAGGTGAGGAAGCGAATGGAAAGATATGAAAAGCCTGCCTCAATATAACTAAAATACGAAATTAAATCACTCACTGAAATAGTTCCAAAGCTTGCTCATGAGTCTGTTGCAGCTCCTATTGACAACACAAAGGAATCCAGTAAAGAAAAATTCAAAATGAGTGATATTCAAATAGGGAAAAAGAAAAAAATATGGTTAAATATAAATATTATAGATGTAGAACACTTGGAATATAATTTGAAATATTGAACTTTTTTTGTCTCATATATTACTTCATTTAGCAATAGCATGCAATTGATAGAAAAGTTTGCTCTCCAAATTGTCATGATAATGAGTCAAAGTACAAATGATTTTGACCAAGAATTAGTTGATTGTTTTCGTGTCAAGTAGCAAGATATAAACCATAGACGCATTCCATTAAGATCAGAAAACTAACACGGATAGGTTGATAAGGCAGGACGAGAAGAGGTAGGTTTGTTGGAATTGCAATAACACAAAGAAAATAGTAACCAACGGAAGGAAACTATGTTTGTTACGATAGCATTGAACATCACATAACCTCATTTATGCCCTTATATGATAATCAGTCTGAACTTGATGAAGGTGAGCTCTCGTTGTTTCAGAGGTAATAATTTTTTGATAGGAAATCAGAGAATTAAAATTCAGTGCATCCCACCAATTTTCAAAAAAAAAAATGATTATGCTCTAGGGTAAAACAATGAAATCAAATTCTTACGCTAAATAACAACATGACATAAATTAACCAATTTCCATTTTCTCTTGTCAGTCATCTAGATATCAGTAGTTGACAATGTTGAAGTTGATCATTTGATCTGATATTCAAAAGTTACCTGTAGCAAAAGGAGTTGAAAAATTTGAGAGTCGAGAAGGAGGAGTTGAACTAAATAATGGAGCCGAAGTGCCAAAAGCTGAGGTGGAAATAGAGAATGAACCAAAAGGTAAAGTCTGAGGGGTTGCACCAGAAGATGCAAATGAAAAGGAGACTGGAGCAGATGTGGTAGGAGTGGAAAACAATAGAAGGTGAAGTGATAGCAGATGGAGTTGCAAATGAAACAATTATTTAACTTGTACTTACAGTTACACTTCATTATTTTTTTCAAATGAACCCAATCTAAGAGCCTCGTGAAACTGGGAAGAAATTTGTTGCAAGCTCTGCTAAGATTGGGCACTAACTGGGTAGTAGCTTTTATCTATAGACTGAAGAACCTGGTCAAGAAGAGCTTTAGCATTTGAAAACAAGTAATACACATCCCAATTACCATTTTGAATGTGTAATTAACTACTTGTCCCTCTCCATTCGGTGATGGAACCACAGAAGCCTCAAACTCAGCATCACATGTATCAACTCTTTTATATGCAAGTTTAACACTCTCTTTGAACAAACTTCTTTCTCTGTGGATTTTGTAGCAAAAGCTATCTGTTTATCACTGAACTCTTTCTTTTTTACTTCCTAGAAGTCATCTGTTGTCAATTGTTACAAACTCCTAGCCAAAAGATACTATTCCACATTGACAAGTCCTTTAAGTTGAGGGAGGAACCATTTGTCAATGTTTGGATATCATGTCATCAACCTTCATTACCCTCTTCATTGAAGCATAAATAGCATGGATGCGATCTGGAGTGGGGACTGTAGGCTGTATTTTAATTGGTCTAATCCCAATCAAGTTCCTTCACCCATGCACCCCATCCAGGATAGCCACATTCCAAAAAGTGTACTACTTTCTGAAAGGACTCCGGAATGTTCAGCCCACTACCATGGATTCACCAACAGACTTCATCTGGGTAGCCAAAATTGGCTCTGAGCCAGGAAACTTCTCACAGGCAAACTGAGGTATCTACATAATTTCCAGAAAAAGAGAAATTATTCCTTAAACTTATATGAATATAATAAGAAGCCAAAACGATATTGCTAGAAGTTATCATAAAGCTGTATTAATGGCTAACAGAAATAACTCATGAAATTACTAACGATAAAATATCTGATGAAAGTAGAAAATGATATCCTAATCTAGAAACCATTTTTTTTTCTTTTTTTGAAAATAAACCTTATAGAAGCAATACCAAACATGTGAAAAGATTGTTTAAATTAACCATCATCAAGGCCCGTGTGGATGTTTATCTTCTAAATTTATTTTTCTATGTCCAATATATCTATTTTCTGCTCATGAAATCTCTCTCCTCACACCCGACTCCTTCCTCCTTTCCTCTTTCATC